GTTTAATTTGTGTCACACTTTTATAGTTCACATAGTCCTGTAATTTTATTTCTGTAACTTTATATTATGAGGATTATAGTTGTGCGATCGATAAGATCTTTAGTTTATATATATATATATATATATATATATATATATATATATATATATATGATACCGGACAACATCTTTTTTATTTAAAAATTTTTAGATAAGTTAGAATTCATAAGTAGCGCCTAAAGCCTACGCAAATGTTTTCCAACCAGCCGAGACAAAAACTCGAACACAAGTGACAATGGCAGAATCTTCGGAATTGTGTATGTTAAGTCAGCGAGGTAAGACTATGCTCGTGGTAGGTTGCCCTGTTTCGTTTTCATAAACATTTAAGCGGTGGTTTTCAGCCTTGGTAGTGCTCTGAAAGGACGTGCCAATGTTTTTTGCAAACAGTAGATTATAATCGATCGATGTAATTCTAAGCAGCCTAACAGAAACGTAGAAATCAACCCTTACACTAAGGAGGAAATTAGAACAGGATGGTGTTGGGCTACGCCTTTTTGGGGAGGTAGGTTACGAAGAGTTACCGCGGAACGCAGTCGGAATACGCCTGGTATAGAGAAGTTACTCTAAGAAGAGACGTCTGACTAGTCGGCAAGCAAATGAACGTCATGTCGTGTGATTGCATAGTAAGAAGAGGTGACGAAGCCCTTGCAACGCGTTGTCGAATTGAGCGCCTGGACATAACTTGCAGTTGTGTTGCCAGCACTTGCCAAGCACCAGCTGTCACAGCGGTCCCTTCTTAGATAATCTCTCTATATGGGTAGACCTCTATTTATGCAAATGCTGATTTACACTCCCGATAATAGAATGGAAAAAGGATGTCATTCTAGTAATAATGAATTAATATATAATGTCTACAAGTCATTTTAACGATAGATTACAAAACGTTCTATTGCCACATTTTAACTTTTGACGTTTTGGCTTGCAACATTTCTTAAGGCGACCCAGCTCATTCGGTATTCGGCAAGCTGTCCCAGAGGGGGGTCGTAGGGCAAACGGCGTTATTGAGGTTCGAACAGTGGTACCAACAGTTACTATTTCACATTTTAACTTTTGCAAAATTGTGATTATGGGAACTTTTTATCCACAAACGAAACATCGAACACGTAAAATCATCAAGCTCAAAACATTGATGTTCCAAAAACATCGACCTCATTTCACTGATGTATCGAACATCGATATTTTTATAGAAACATTGGTATATTGAACATGTCGATGTCACCTCCCTAGACTATATTTTTATTTTTTCTATAGTGGCCGATGACATTTGGTTAGTGTTACATCTCCTGCCTTATGAAAGGAATCTTTTTAACAATGGTGAGCACATTTGTGAGGCCACGAGCCCCTTTGAGAAGGGCGTTGGCGAATTAATTCAAAAGATTCATTTTGCAAGGCGGGAGGTGCAGCAATGACTTAATGTCACAGGCAACTACAGAATCGAGAGTCGCGTGACGATTGTTCCTGGCGAGCGCGTGGGCGTGCCTGTTGGCGCAGGCAACGAGTCGGAGGCTGAGGCTGAGCTGCCGAACCGCCTGCACGTGCTGGAGCCGTGGGGCGGGGCGCCTCCCCCGCAGCCTGCGCAGCCCCCTCCGGCGGACGACGACGCGCGCCCCATCTGGCGCCCTGGCCGCCCCGCGACCCGCCCCCCCCCCGCGCCCCACCATGCCCTCCTTCCTCATTGCGTAAGCGCTCCGTCGCGCGCGCCCGCACTAAAGGGGCGCAGCACACACACGCGCGCGCCTCGCTCTCTCGCAGTTTGCAACTGGAGACATTGGTTGCAGATATGCTTAATACTATTGTTGAAAAATGGGTAAGATTAGTTATTTCATTAGTTAAGTATTACTGACAAATTATTATTATTATATTATTATTATATTTATTATTATTATTATATTATTGATCTTATTATTATTATTATTATTATTATATTATCATTATTATTATTATCATCATCATCATTATCATTATTATTGACGTATATGCCATTACTGATCATTACGATTAACGTGTGTAATTTTTCCAGGATCAGCTTTTCAGCTGTATTCCTCAGTACGACAAGGTTGTTACGCCTTGAATTATGTGAAGAATTATTAGATGATAGAATAATGTTGATGATGGGACGATCACAAATACGACCATGACTACGCAGGATTATTATTATTATTATTATTATTATTATTATTATTATTATTATTATTATTATTATTATTATTTAATCAATCATTTCTGAAAATTGAGCAAAGTAAAATCTATGGAAACTTACATTAAACGATTTCAGACTGCATTTAATGAATTTCGATAAAAGTTTCTTAGTTACGGGCGGAGGGGCTCATTTAAATACATTTTACAAGGAAACGTCAGAGGTGGAATTTATAAATATCTCAACAATAATGTACTTCACAATTGTTCAAGTTTTACATATAATTCTTACTCTCCATGTTATTATTATTAATGCAAACACTATAATCGTACTGCAAAATATTCAAAACTGCTCTACCAAAGGTCACAGAGGAACAGGCACTTTGCATTTTTACTCGTTTTTAATGTAAGATAATTGAAATTATTTATTTTATTAAAGTACTAGAGGTTAATCATTTTTCTTTAATCATTCAATACGATTGTATGTCAATCATTTTGAATTATTTTCTCCTCCCTTCATCTCTCCCTACCTCTCTGTTTCTGTCGGTCTGTCTGTTTCTCTCTATATCTCTCTATCTCGCTATCTATATCACTCTCTATCTCTATCTATCTCTATCTCTCTACCTCTATCTCTATCTATCTCTATCTCACTCTCGTTTTTGTTCTTTCAAGAAGTAGTTTAGGAAATGGGCTCACTTTTTCTACAATAATAAATTCATTTCATCATCATACTTCCTAACTGTTGGCATTTGGGTAAGTAGATCCTTGAAAACTAATGAGATGTCATCAGTTGGGTCAGTGTTTACTCTAAAATGAAGTCTATTGAGATCAAACCTCTCTTCTGCATTATACAGCCTGGTTCTCACAACGACCACATACTTCCCTCTCAAAATACAGACGCAATTTTTTTACGATTGTCACTAGTGTGCTGAAAATGGGAGAGGGCGGGTAATGCGAGAGTGAATAGCGAGAATGAACAATGGTCTCCTAAATTTATAGAATGTTCTTCTTCAGTTAGTGCAGGTTGGTTATAATTTGATATAGGAGGCAAGGTCTAGGCTCTTGTGGAACAATAGAATCTGATTTGTAACTAAACTTCACTGGAAGTTCTTATCTAAGAAAACTATTGCGTCAAATGGCGTAATTCCTGTATTCTTAAATCTGATCTATTGACATGGTTAAATTTTTTTAGGAGAGGTAGTTTTGCGGTGCCCTCTTACGTTGTTAAAAACTGCAAGTATTTGTGGGTGTATTAAAAAGCACTTAAAAATAAAAGACAAAAAGAATCCCTCCCCCTGCTCAAAATGTTCAAAGTCAAAATTAAAGGCAATACTAACACGTATATATGGTTCAGAATCATGGGTCACTTATACGAAAATAGGTTAAGAATACAGGCAGAAGAGATGAGTTTTCTGAGATCTTTACTAGACTCGATAGAATAAGAAATATTGACATTCGAAATGAACTCAGTATTTTCTCAACGACCACTTTCCTAGAAGAAAATAAAATGAAATGGAAAGAATACGTAGAAAGCATGGCCAAAGGAAGATTCTCAAAAGGAGTAATGAAATGCAAGCCTCGAGGAAGAAGATATCCAGGTCGCATAAGAAGATGACTGAGAGGTCGGAACAGGTATCGCCGTAATTCCTGGGCAGAAGAAGATCATTTCCGTATTTAGTTACTAACAGGCGGATTTTGCGGGTTTGATGGTGTAACGATTAACGTATGGGGCTATTGTACGGAAGTGTAGGTATCGGGAAAGAAATACGGGTTCAAGCCTGATCGACGCTGTGGATTTTTAAGAGCGATAATGTCCTTCTTCCCGCCTTGCTTCGGAGAGGAAATAAAGCGGCTGTCCCATATTGTAACTGCATGTAGAAGATACTCAATTCTAATATAAGCCGCTGAGCAAAATTCAAATTCGCGTGTCGTCGCCCTTCATTCTCCGCAAGATGTTGAAAGGAGCGTAGCAAAATTTGCGTGGTAAGACGGAAGAGCGGGCCTGATGGCCCGAGTCTCGCCACATAAAATAAGACATTAACTAACATGAATATATCGCCCAATCAATTGCATTTCCGTCTGTACTATCCAATCCGACTCAATAACTACTTAATTTATAAACTTGAAATTTAAACACATTAAAGACATTGCACATGGCACCAACTTAGTTTGTTTTACCGTAATATCCCTAACGGTTCCGAAGATATAAATGGTTTTGGCGATCCCGCTACATAAAAGCAAGTGTGTGTATGAAAAGTCTGTATGAGCCTCAAAAACTTTAGAACCTTAGGAGTGATTGTTCGCAAATTTGGTACCAAAAGTTTTGAAAGGCCAAGAATCGAAACTGGTGTCGTTGCGATTGAAACCTGTTACCTATTCTTTTTAATGTGCAGCTAAATGCAATCCCCAATTAATTTGGGCTTCATTGTCTCCGGGTGCTGCCGTGTGACCCGTGTTAGGTCCGAGCAGGACGGTGGGAAGGGGAGCGGCGGACGAAGCAGAATGAGCGAAATAGGAGAGGGAAAAAGGAGCGGCGCAGCAGACAGGGGTGGGGCGAAAGAGCAGGCCGGAAGGAATGGGCGAGGCGGAAAGACGGAAGAAGCGGGAGGAACAGAAAGCGGAAGAGCCCCATGGATGGGCTGGGAGGTGTTTGCGGGACGGCCACGCCATGAGAGAGAGAGAGAGAGAGAGAGAGAGCGTCCCGGAGAGTGGACGAAGTGTGATGAGCGAGTGGAACAGATGGGGTGGAACGGGCTCAAGGGATGGGGTGGGAGGTGTTTGCAGGACCTACCGGTAGTCGGAGGAAAAAGTAATTTTATTTGGGAATGGAGGATGCTACCGCCTTATCGCACCCTTATCCGTTTGCTGTCACAGCCAGCACTTCAGCCGCGGCCGACGCTTGGCGCCCTGCCTGCCATCTGGCGGCAACGCGTTGCAACGCGAATCATCCCCAGCTGCCACCAGAGGCGGGAGTGTAGTGAGCGCGCCTTCCAAACGCCCGGACATCTATTGGTGACTGACGTGGAAGGTGCTCTCTACCAGTAATACTCGCACGATGCAGTCTTCACAGAATCTGCGATATACCCTACGAAAAGCATATTTGTTTCTGTAGCAGACAGAAAAATATTTTAATAATCAATTAGCCTTTAAAGACGTACACATATCGTGCTTTCACAACTCGACTGTCAACGACGACAGGTGGAGTTATAGAACTTCAGTATTAAACCAAAGAAGTAGTACCAGAAAAGCCGGAAAATAAAAGACCCGTTGGGAAGGCAAAATAAAACGTGAAGTTGGAAGTTTATGGACAAGAACAGCAAAAAATAGTGTAAGTTTAAAGAGAATTAAAAGAAAAGTTACGTGGAAAGCATTTGAATAAGAACAGCTAAATTGTTCAAGTTTAAGTGTTAAGTGAAAGTGTAACCTATATGGACAAGAACATCAAGAAGAGAAAAGCAGGGAAAGGTTGTGCTAAAAGAAAACGTTTAGATTTAAGTTTTAATCGTAAAGAACAAAATCGTACAATAGGACGTTCCACGGGCTATTACTATATACTTCTTCATCATAATATAATGACTATATTACAATCACAGAACTTCTTGGAAAATATTTTGGACTTAACACATCCACAATATCAAACTACTGTTCTTATAAAAGCACACATTTTGTTGCAATAATTATTACGAATAAATAATGTTACGCTACTACATCAACCTGCAAACTGCTTGTCTCCGCACCGAGATTTTTTTATAAGTATTTGACCTCGTTTAGCGTAAATAACTCTGAAAATGGCTCGGGTTTCATTTTCGTTAAAATCTGTGATTTTTGGAAAATTGCACGCGCTTTCATTTGTTCCTTCAACTAAAATATTAAAGATTGATATTTTGCTTTGATAAAATGTCCTCTTCATGTTTTCAAAAATATGAGCCATTTTCGTGGAATTATAAATGAAATTTAATCCACTTTCACACAAATGTTAACTTATATCAAGGACTTTCAATTGTTGAGGGGCCCATACATGTTCAAGATACTTGCTAATGTCATGTATCCAGCATAACTATGGTTTACGAACGAAGTAAAGTTTAACAGAGCTACGTTAGGTTTGATTACAAAGCAAGACGAGTTTTACCGAAAAAGGAATAAAACTGACGGGAGAGTCTCAAAGTTTTAAATACAGAAAAGACGAAAGGCCTGTACTTTTGCAGTTCTCTATTAAATGCTCAAGTATCAACGATCCCGTTTTAATTCGTATAATATATTTTTATAACATTTATATAACCCTGATATCCGTTTCTCAATCTTCGTTATTCGTGGTTTCTAAATTCTGTATCCTAAACTTATATTCTCCTTTTTCTCCTTCTATTTCTCCTTTCTTTTTCTTTTACTCCTAACCCACCGTGCTCCAAAATCGCGACAGCAACAACGTCGACTTTTAATGACTCTTAATACTACGATCTGTCGGCATGCTGCCTGCACCTGCTTAAATTCTGGGCTCACATAGTTCAGTAGGAATTGTGAACTCTGTGTGAACTCTAAATTGTGAACAACTTTTATAATTTTGTTCTTTAAAAATCCTTTTGTTCCTAATACGAACAGATAATTTTTACATTGTTTTGAAAATGAAATTTAAAGTAGATACTTCTTTCTGTTCATTTTTCATTTGTCGAGTTATCTGAATCGCGCAAAAGTGAAGAGAGCTGCCTTTCTAAAAAGAGTTAGTGTTGGTCGTTGCGCAGTGGTCGTGGGCGCGGCGTCGACGCCGCCTGCCGCCGCCGCCTGGCGCCGTTCCGGCCGCCCGGGCCGCCCTCCCCGCAGAGAGCGCGCCACGGGTACTTCGAGGACGGCGACGGCCCGCCAACGCCATCGGCGCGCGCGGAGACGGCGCACCTGCTGCGCGTCGGCTTCTGCACGGCAAGACGGTCAGGCTCTCTGCCACTTCCCACTCCCTCTCCCACTCCCCCTGCCTCCATCTCTCTCCCTCTTCTATCCTCTCATTCTCTTCTCTCCCTTCGTTTCCCTCCCTTTCGCCTCTTCCCTTCACTCATTTCTTTCCACCCACTCTTTCGGTTTCACTCCCTTCTGTTCCATCTCTTCCCTTTCTCTCCAGCCTTGTTCTTTTTCCTGTCTCTGCCTCTATCTCTCCTCTTTTCCCCATCTCTCCTCCTACCTCTGCCTCCTACCTCCTCTCCCCTCCCTCTACCCTGTCCTACCCCTCCCCGTCCTACCCTCTCCCTCCCTCCTCTCTCTCTCCTCCCTCTACCTTCCTCCTACCCTCTCTCTCCTACCCTCTCCCTCCTACCCTCTCCCTCTCTACCTCTCCCTCCTACCTTCCTCTACTCTCCCTCCTACCTCTCTCTCTTCCTCTATACTCTCTACCTCCAACCCTCCATCCCAACGTCTCTCTCTTTTTCGTTTCGTCTCTCTCTATCTTCCTTCCTTTTTCTCCCTTACCGACTTCTCTTTGCCTCCCTCTCTCCTCGTTTTCCTCTCCTTTCCGTTTCTCTTCTTCCCTCCCTCCCGCCCTGTGACCTGTCCCTACAAAATTATTAGTGGATGCAGCGTTACAAATTAAAATATTTTATCTTCATTCAACTTTTTAATTAACATAGTTTCAAAATTGATGTTTTCGATTTGCGTGATCTCGTTTCAGCATGACTGTGAAATCATTATCATAATCCGAATAAAGAGGCTTGTTTAGACCTATTGTAACAATGTAGTTCAATACCTGTTTGCAACAGGTCATACAAGGTGGATGCGAATGTTCGAAATTGGAAAATTGTTTGCAAGAGTGAACAGTCAATGAATAACGAATGATCAATCAATGAAAATCCTCCTTCCAAAGCACGAATCGTAGGGACAATTGCCCTTGACAGGGCAGCTTGAGGGGAACCCATCGTGGCCGTTGCCCGACGCTCTCTGCGGCCTCCCTGATCGGATTTGTTGCGCCAGCCCTCTGGCGGGGTGGGGAGGCGCTCGGGGCGCGATCGACATCTAGCCTGTGAGAGACGAGTGGGAATACAGCCCTCACGCCCGTCTGAAGCGGGCCGTCGCCCCGCAGGTGAGTGGGTGCAACGCCAGGGCGGAGTCCATCCACCTGCCTGACGGTGGGCAGGGCGTGTACAGCGCGGACGGCGCATACGCCTGGGCTTCCGCTAACCAGAAAAAAAAAGCAACTGGGCTGGAAGAAAGAGCGACGTGGCCGGGCGACCGAGGCGGTTACGAGTGCCAGGGCGGTGCGCGCACACGCGCCGCGTGCGCAGATTCCCTCAAGGTCATAGGTAAGCCAGCACAAACTCTTTTTTATATTACGTTCGTGGTCGCGCGAAGGCCGTGAAGCAACCTTCCTCAGGGCATGTGTTTGTGAAGGAGTAAATAGTGAAGGAGTACAGTAGTAAGGAGTTTACAGTAGTGAGGAGTACAGTAAGTGAAGGAAGTTACAGTATGAAGGAGTACAGTGTGAAGGAGTACAGTAGTGAAGGAGTACAGTATTAAGGAGTAAAAGTAGTGAAGGAGTACAGTAGTGAGGAGTACAGTAGTGAAGAGAGTACAACAGTGAAGGATACAGTAGTGAAGATGAGGAGTAAGTAATGAAGGATAAGTAGTGAAGGAGTAGAAGTGAAAGGAGTACGTAAAGGAGTTACGTGAAGGAGTACAGTAGTGAAGGAGTACAGTGTGAAGGAGGTACAGTAGTGAAGAAGTACAGGTAGTGAGGAGTAAGTTAGCTGAGGAGTACAGTAGTGAAGGAGTACCGTAGTGAAGAGTACAGTAGTGAAGGAGTAACGTAGTGAAGGAGAGTAAGTATAGGAGTAAGTAGTGAAGGAGTAACGTTAGATGAAGGAGTAGTAGGATAACGTAGTAGGAAGTAGTAGTAAGGAGTAACGTAGTGAGGAGGAGTAGTGAAGGAGTAACGTAGTGAAGGAGTAACGTACGTGAAGGAGTAACGATAGTTGAAGAGTAATGTTAGTGGAGGAGTAACGTAGTATGAAGGCAGTAACGTAGTGAAGGAGTACGTAGTGAAGCGAGTACAGTTAGGTGAAGGAGACGTAGTGAAGGAGTAACGTAGTTTAGGAGTAATAGTAGTGAATGGTACGTCGTAGTGGAGGAGTAACGTATGAGGAGTAACCGTAGTGAAGGAGTAAGTAGTGAAGGACGTAACGTAGTGAAGGAGTAACGTAGTGAAGGAGTAAGTAGAGAGGAGTAAAGTAGTGAGAGGAGTAACGTAGTGGAGGAGTACACGTAGTGAAGGAGTAACGTAGTGAGGAGTAGTAGTGAAGGAGTAACGTAGTGAAGGAGTAACGTAGTGGAGGGTAAGGAAAATGGTGATGGGTAAAGTAAAAGTAGATGACGCAGTTAAGTAAAGATAGTGACGAGTTAAAGTAAAGTAGTGACGCCAGTTAAGTAAAGTAGTGACGGCAGTTTAAGTAAAGTAGTGACGCAGTTAAGTAAAGTAGTGAGCATTAAGTAAAGTGTGAGCCCGTTAAGTAAAGTAGTGACGGAGTAAAGTAAGTAGTGACGCCAGTAAGTAAAGTAGTGAGCCAGAAGTAAAGTAGTGACGCAGTAAGGTAAAGTAGTGAGCATTAAGAAGTGATGTGGCGGTTGTGTGACGCAGCGCCGGAGGTGACGGTGGTGGACGAGGGCGGGCACCGCGTGACGGAGCGTCACTACCGCACGGGCAGCACCGTGGAGCTGACGTGCGTGGCCACGCAGCTGCACCCGGCGGACGGCGCCGTCGAGTGGCGGCGCGACGGCGCGCAGATCGTGCGCGGCGTCAGGTCAGCGCAGCCCCCGTGCGCATGTGGCGACTCGGGATAAATGTAGTAAACGTCTACGCCTTGCAGAGGGGCGAAGATGTTCACATTGCGAAGACATTTCCTATATGGAACTTTCACAAGGGATTGAGAAAGTCATGTAGTCAATTTAATGACATTGGCTGACTTGCCATGCGGAGTATGGATGGTTCTATTAAAACATTGTGATGCTCTTACTATGAGGTTTTCACCCCAGAACAATTGTGCTTTCTAACCACAAAAGATCTTTTATCACTAACACTAGTCGGAGAAAATACCATCTATAAGGTGAAGAAAATATGCGTGTACCCATCAGTTGCTGGGCATGTCATTACTAAAATAGTAGGAGTTCGTGAATAAGTCAGTGGTTACTACTCTCTTTCCAAATCCTAAGACACGACACGTGAGTGTATGTATTTAACGCGCTGAATCCTAATCAGACGTAAGAATTGTCTTGTTTTTTTAAACTGCGAAATTCAACCTCCCCCCATAGAATTGTATTTATTGTTTTCAGACCCAAAGACTAGAAAGTTGAAAAACGTAAAATTTTACGGTGTTTTTTCGCGATTTAAAAAAACAACAACTGGATTATGGTGGCGCAGTTCTGGCTTCAGATTCGGGTTCAGCGCGTCGACATACAGAGAGAAACATGTCTCAAGTCTGTGTGTCTGATAGCTATGTCTGTGCGTGTGTGTGTAAGTCTACGAAATGAAATGAAAAGAAATGTCCTTATCCTGGAGTGAATGACAGAATTGTGAATTCCGCAGCAACGCCAGCGCCGGCGCCGGGGGGGCGGTGGGCTCTGTGACGTCGACGCTACGCCTCCCGCGCGCCTCCCGCGCCCATTCCGGCAACTACACGTGCGCCGTGGGGCGCGTCGCGGCCGCCACCGTCGCCGTGCACGTGCTCAACGGTGAGGAAGGCCCATTCGCAACGCATGGAATAAGCATAAAAGCGGGTGGCATCAAACAGTAAATTATGCAACTAGTTTGTAATATTAAGCTTTATTGCATGGGTACATGTTTTGAAAACGAGCGACGTCAGGAGCGAGCAATGCAATAAAGCAACACAACAAACGAGTTGCACACATAACTTTTTGTATAACAGCGTTATATGTATGTAAAATAAAATTAATTTTAGAAAGAACTCTGTGACGTCACGGGTATTTGACAAGTTTGAAAAACCTATGGTCGGTTGCTCGGCTTACCACTATCACCCCACGATTCTCTCGCTGCGATTGGCTCAATGTGCGATGACACAAACATTCGTGCCATAAGTGGCAAATAAGTAATAATCTGTCCCGTAAGTATGTATATATGTATGTATGTATGTATGTATGTACGTACTTGGCGCGACAGTCCGTGAACGGGCTCAGGCCTACCTAATAATCTGTATACGCTAATAATCTGTCCAGTAAGACATTTTCATAAGTCATTTTATGAACATTTTCTTGAAACTTAAAAGGTCGTTTAAAATACTGATTACAAAAAATATTTTTTACTAATACGTTATTTCGTTTGATACGGAGTTCACTACATAAACTACCTACATTGAGAGGACCGAGGTTACGAGGGAATGGGAATACAGTTAAATGATGCTATTTGTTACCTAATTGAGGAAATTGTGGGAGGGAAATATGAAAAGAGAAACCGAGTCAATATAACAACTAGTGAATTAGTAAATAAGAAAATCTGAATCATTAAAATTAGCTAAAAAATAAAATATTCTTTATTATATGAGTATAATACAACGTACAACATTCTGACATACAATATATAATATAAATAAAATATGAAATGTGTGAGAGAATTTAACTGGTTCTAATGATCTCGCGCCAAATGCTCTTAGTCTTTTTGTCACCGCTCGATTATTTGAACCCTTACAGCGCCTTTGGGGCATATATAAATAGAATCATTATTAGGAAGAGGATTTTCATGCCATAAAAAACTTGAAATACGCTTTTAAAAATATGCTTTTATGACATAAAAATTCTAAAATATCAACATTAATATGCAATTAAAATTAATAATATTTCATATCCTGTGTAAACCTTTCTACATACGAGTAAGAGGACATTTTCCAGGAGAATTTTATGCACGGAATGAAAGGATCTATTTTTGCGAAAACATAATAGATGTATAACCTAGCTTTTTAGCGTGGAAGAAATAATGCAAGTAAATATGCATCTTGGCCCCGGGTCCGATTTCCAGTCGAGTCAAAATTGTAGTGTGCGTTTTCCAGATTATGTATGAATATGTATGTCTTCTGTTTGAGCTCTAAACAAATTGAGTACACTGATCTGGGCTGTCCGGGGAGACGCGGCGTCGCGGGCTGAGGAGCCAACGTTTCGACCGACATATCGCGGTCTTCTTGAGGACTGAGAGCGTAGGCTTCCGCGGCCGGAGTCAGTATTTACTTGGTTGTCCGGGTGACGCCGCGCCCAGGACGTTTCGGTCGCCATTCTGCGACCTTCCTCAGAGCGTAATGCCAACGTAAACGTAATGGCGACCGAAACGTCGCCATGGACGCGGCGTCACCCGGACAGCCTAGTATATACTGACTCCGGACGAGCTTACGCTCTCATTACACACTATATTTATTACGCTCTGTGGAAGGTCGCAGAATGGCGACCGAAACGTCAGCCCCTTCGCCATG